AAAATTAAAAAGTAGGCAATACCTAATTTTAAAAATTCAATCCAAGAAAATTTAAATTATTTATGTTTTTAATGTACTCTCCTGTGAAAGAAATCTATTTGAGCTAAAGGCTTCACAGAGAGTGATTTTTTCAAACAAACATACCAGATCATACACATCCAAATGATTATTCATTTCAAACAATTCCCTTTGGAAAGCTGTAATCTTAGACCAATTGATACTGCCATTACTTTGGACATTTTTGGAACGCTTCTTTTGAAACTAACTTCTAAGAAAATCATAAGCCAAGTAAGAACATTAGTTTTATCTAAAAGTTAGATCTTGTTTTTGGTCTTCCTCTTAAAACAAAAAAAATAAAACAAAGACCAAAGAAACCTAGAGTAACAGCTAACTTAATATCTATCTTATGCATAAGACTTTACTTTTTCCAAAACTCAAATTTACCTTCAAAAGATAAAAACTTGCTACCATTGAGGATATTTAAAAGAATTTGCCTATAGTAAGAGCAATGCAGTCTCCACTCTACAATAACATATGGATTATTTTCACCAAATAGCAGGATAAAAAAAGTTTGACAATGCACTATTTTGGAGAGTGTTGGGATACAGACACTCTCCAATCTTTGTGGCTGTACTAAATATTGGTTTCACCTCTTTGGAGGACAAATAGGCAATAGCTAATACATTTTTAAATGCACTTATCCTCTGTTCCAGAGATTTTACACGTGTGGCAAAGGAAGTACCAGGGTATTTATTGCAGGACTGTTCATTTAGCAAAGGTGACAAGCAACCTAACACCACCCCTGGGAGGCTGGCTAATGCATCATGACACATTTATACTACAGACCACTAGGCAGACACTAAAAGATGGTCATATGTACTGATATGAACAATCTCCAGATTTATTAAGTGAAAAAAGAAGAAAGCTGAGATAAAAAGAAGAGGTTGTCTTATTTCTGAGTCTCTTCTAAGTCTTTCATTTATGGGATGTTCCCTTAATTACTTTATTTTGAACAACACTGTATTGTTTGGTAAATATATATTATTCTGAAATGGTGCCAGTCTAGAATGAAATGGGGAAAAAAATAACAGATATTATCCAGATGACTTAATAATTTCAAGTGTTGGATACAGTTATAAAAGCTCTTTAAAGACCTCTTTTAAAAGTAATGTAGTAGGTAGGTATATAGTACAGATCACAAGTATATGCACCTTCGGCACAGAGCTTTTAAAAATATAACTGTCCTAATGTTTTATAAATACATGCTGTGGCTTAGGACAAACTTTCCAATGACAGCAACAAACACTGCTTAAAACAATGCTGTATGTTAAAAACTTAGATAGAAATGAAGGTGATGTACTCCGGGGAATACTTATATAACTAACCCCCCAAAATTGCAGTAGTAGTACCAAAGACACTGACGTCAAAATACATGTGAAGCTGTCAAAAACATACAGGAAGCTTTTGAATAAAATTCTTTTGTAAAATGTAAGATAGGAAGAAAGCAGTATGTGTAAATTAACATATCTTATGAGGATTTTAAAATATGTACATGTAACTTATATTGTTAAATCAATATAAAAATAGGCATTTTAATTATTTCAGCTACAAACCTAAAACTTAGCCCCAACTTATTTCTTATCTTCTCACTGGAAAATGGTGATCAACTTTTTTTTTTTTGGTGAGGGAGACTGGCCCTGAGCTAATATCCGTTGCCAATCTGCCTCTTTTTGCTTGAGGAAGATTCACCCTGAGCTAACAGCTGTGCCCATCTTCCTCTGTTTCATATGTGGGTCACCACCACAGCATGGCTGCCGACGAGTGGTGTAGGTCCACGCCCGGGTACCAAACCCGGGCCGCTGAAGCAGAGCACACCAAACTTAACCCTAGGCCATGGGGCTGGCCCCTGGTGATCAACTTTTTAATTTTTTAATCAAATCACCTACTTGACAACTGCATGTGGATGTCTAAACGGACAAGTGAAAATGGGGGAAACAGAATTCCTAATGCCCTTCCTAATGTCATCTTGCTCCCATCTCATTCCCTGCCAGTTTTCCTCACATCAATAAATAGCACCGTCACCTCCCCAGTTACTCAAACCAGACATCTAGGAATTACTTTAAATTTCTGTTTCCTTCATTTCTCACGTCCAATCCAAGTCCCATCAACTTGACTCCCAAAACCTTCTTTCCCAACCTGTTCATTCCTAACTCCTCTACTACCACTCTGGTCCAAGCCCCACCATATGCCCCCTGGACTATGGCCGCAGCCCCAACTGGTCTCTCTGATATTATACTTGCTCCTTTCAATCCATTCTCCAGACAGCAGATCTTTTAACAAAGTAAATCTTAACATCTTAACTACCCAACTTGGCTTCTCATTGAACTGAGGATAAAACCCAAACTCTTTGAAACCCCTACCACAGCTCCTCTTGCCCACACTGGCCTCCTTGGTGCTCGTCAAGCACCCCAAACTCCAACTGCCCCCAGTCTGCAATGCTCTCCCCCCACCTGCACCTGGCTGATCACAGCTTCCTCAGCCCCCGTTCAGACAGCTCTTCCCTGATCACTTCACCTAAAGGGGCCTCCAACACATCGTGTTCTCGCCCCACACTCTGAATTCTCACTATCAGATACTTCTCTTGTTCATTAATCTGTTGGTTTATTGTCTGTCTCCCCTGACCAGATATAAATTTCATCAGAGCTACTTGTCTGCTTTGTTCACTACTGCATCCCGTCACACAGCAAATGCCTGTCACATAATATGTCCTCAATAAATATTTCTTGAGTGAAGTGAGTGAATAAATAAGTGAAGGCTCTAAATTAACTACATCAAAAGGGACAACAGTCTTTTGAATGTCTGAATGCTGGTATATTCGTTACGGAAAATCAACACTGTGTTTTAGCTATTAATGTTCATCATCCCTCTGATGTAAGCTTCATAACTGATCACGGCTAATTTATCCTCGTATATCCTGCAGTGCCAAGTATATGTCTTAGAGCCAGTGCTCAACAGTTCTTCATGTGTTTTTTATTACTATATTTAATTGTCTTAAAAGTGATTTATCTCTAGATATATTCTTGGAGAGATGACCTCAGTATTAAATGACCCAAGTAAAGCAGATCTAGACTGACTATCTAGAATGATATTCAGTCATTCAGTCAACAACTTTTATTAACTACTAGTCATGGAGGGAAGGGGTTTCTCATGACCACATTATTGATTATCTGAGTCCCTGTCGTTATATGCTTGTGTAGGAAAACATATGTTATCATAACATCAAAACAATCACTTATGAATCAACTACAAATAAAATTAAATCATCTCTCACACCTCTCTCCCTCATGCATCCCTTGAAGTGTTGTAGTGCGTGACCTATGTGGCTGTATGAAGTGGGCCTCTCCTAAGAGTAACTTCTCTCCTCTCCTGGTGAGTTTTTAACACTCCAGTCTCTATACAAGTACAAATCACCTGCAAATTGAAATTCTTTTTTTTTTTGCTGGGAAAGATTCACCCTGAACTAACATCTGTTGCCAATCTTCGTCTTTTTTTTTTCTCCCCAAAGCCCTAGTAAATAGTTGTATATTCTAGTTTTAAGTCCTTCTAGTTCTTCTACGTGAGCTGCTGCCACAACATGGCTAATGACAGATGAGTGGTGTGGTTCTGCGCCCGGGAACTGAACCTGGGCCGCCAAAGCAGTGCATGCCGAACTTGAACCACTAGGCTATCAGGGCTGGCTCCAAATTAAAATTCTTATATAAGATAGAGAATTTCCAGAAGTAGACAAAAGTGATGTTGGAGAAGCATTCTAGTATTACACAAAGCCTCTGACAAATAAGGGTTATGCCCAATTAAAGACCAGCTAACAACTGAAGAAAGAATCAACAGGGATAATGACATAACAGATACTCAAAAAGAGAGTTCTGTTCAAATAATTACATTCTAGATTTTAAAAGGCCCTTGGAAAAACTGACGAAGTTTTCAAATACTAACTCAAAAAAACTATTTTTGGGAAAAAAAAAGACTCTCTATGATCCTGCTGCAAAAGTCAAACATGAGGTACATGTATTTATACACCATAAACATATACCATTGTTTATGGTATAGTTTTGTCAGAAAATCAATTGTTTATTCTAAAAATTCGCATGGAGTTTTCATTATAATCTAAGTTTTATGAAATCTAAAATAAATTTACTTTCATAATCTACGGTTCCATTGTTCAAGATAAAGTTCCAATTAAAACGTTTTCACTGATATTTTTCCCTTTTAATTGAATTCACTTTTAAGTGTCCTTTTTTTCTAGAATGAATTATTCTCATGAGGTAAAGATCCCTGAGTGTAGCTGGGCACCAGGGATACAGTAATGAGCAACCTCAGATAAATTATTAAGTGACGTCTCCTCCCAAAACTGAAGTTTATATTGTGTTCAGAGGCTAATTTATATACATATTGGATTTTTCTGTGATGTGAAGTTAAATGTAAATGCATACAAATGAATAAAGAGGGAAGAGATGACTGTAAACACGTCAAATATAAGGGTAAAAAGTACCAGAGAGGACTCAAGAAACCTGCGTGGTAGTTCTGACTGGGCAAATCAATTCTATGGCCTCTAGAGGATCTCTAGTTCCCCTTCTTGCTCTTCCTTGATTCTATGGGATTTTGAAAAGTATTTATATTAGTGATATTGAAAAACAAAAAGCACCATTTTATTTAAACCTGGTGAGGCAGGCATTAACAATCCTACTTTGTAAATTATGAAGCTAAATTAAATGGCTGAACCAAACACATTCTGCTATTTGATAGCAAAACTAGGTCTCCTATTCCAAGTCTTATGGCCTGTAAGAATATAAAAGTTCCCAGAACCTCAACGCTTGTCATGAAGAAGGCACTCCGTAACTTCTAGCTGCATCTGAAAGAGTCAAAATCAGATTCAGGCATACAAGGCACAGAGAGAGTAAGATCACAACAACTCATTCTCTAACTTAATTCTTTCCAGCCAGATCATAAAAGGATGGCACACTAACCCACGGAGGTAAAAACTCTGTCTCAGAGGACTCAAGGGAACAAAAATTCTTAAGGTTAGTGTCCTTAAAAAAACTCTGCCTGCATCTCATGTCTATACTTCTCTGAAAACAGGTCGTGTTTTATAAATCTAACACAATGCACTGAAAAGAATGTATAATAAACGTGTTCGAGAGAAGAGTCATTCTTAGGGTCGCTTGATTTAGCAAATAAAAATATGGGATACCCAGTTAAAACTGAGTTTCAGATAAACAATGAATAATTGTTTAGTATAAGTTGTATCTGAAATTCGAATTTAACGGGGTGTCCTGTATTTTAGCTGGCCACTCTAGTCACTCTATAGTCTGTTTTTCCCAACTGGAATTGTTGGCAGAAAGACTACAAAGAAAAGGTAAGTTCTATCCAGCATACTAATGAGTTCCAGGCTATCAAATCACTAATACTAATTTTGTCATCAAAAGAGCACAAAGGATCCTGTGTACCACACTGTGATCCTGTGTGTGACAAGTGAACCTTTTGAAAGCTCTTAGATTAATAATTTGTGGCATAAAATTCCTCCTTAAGTAAGCTTTTTCATTTCACTCTCAAAACCATACCATATAATATACTTAAAAGAGAAAAAACAAATTGCAGTCTACTTATAAAAGGGAGTTTGACTAATTGCTAAAAATTCTTGAGACGACAAAGCATTGAGAAGCTGTATTTTTTAGCCATGAATCCTAAATTCTAATCTAGTCTTAGCATTTGCTACTAGTGGGATGTGTGACCAGTAGCAAACAATTTTCTTCCTGCGTTTTCTTTCTGCATTTCAATTTTATCCTCTATAAAACAGGGCAGACACCACTGGTTCTGACTTCTTTTCGAAGTGCAAGGTGCTGACTGTCTTCTGCAGGGTATAAAGTCAAGAATACCAAACTGGCAATCAGGAGAGAATTCTAGTTCCAGCTACAAGACCACACAGATGTGAGGGTGAACCAATCACAACTTCTCTGGAGTTCAAGTTCTTCAGTTGTAAAAAAGGGCAGCTGTATTAACAGGCCATGAAGACCCCCACAATGGCTTACAGTATCAACAGGCCAGGAGATGATCACCAGGTCAGTCAACTCAATTACCCTCTTTTTGCCCCTCGCTTCCTCATTTTCACATAGGGGAAAGACCTCCTTACTCCTTCACTCACCATACAGGGTTGATGTACAAGTGAAATTAGAAAACGCATGTGGAAGCATTTCAAAATCTCCTCCACATACTTAAGATTTTGCTGTCTCCTATAATTTAGTACTCACTCCAACAGAGATGCAGGGCTGGGGTAAGGAGCAATGGCTGTTTATTTCCTCATAAAATTCCGCCAGGAGAACCCGGGAAAAGATGAGGGAAAAAAGGTTGTGTTCCCGGTGGTACAAAGCTCACAGGCTGCGAGGGTCTAACGGGGTCTGCAAAAGGCTGGCTACATGCACCCTGAGGACTCCAAGTCCTCGGCCAAAGCAGATACCTCAGAATGCCATTCTTTATAGGCTCTCACTAAGTTTTCCCCGCAAAAAGAAGAGTTACATCCTAACTCTACATAAGTTACATCCTAGCCATCTGAGCAAAAAGAACCAAGGGGACGCCCGTTCCACAAAGGTATTTTATATTTTACCCTTTGCTACAAGCCCTCATAACTCAGAGACTCGACTTTCATGTGCAAGCCTGCCCTTGCTCACTGCCCTGCAAACCTGGGAGCAATCATGAGCAGAGTGGCCTTCTTGAAGTCTTCGAGTTGATTTAACGTTTACAAGGCTGTTAATGAAAGACAAGAGGCCCTTGACACTTGAAATAAAGCCATGGCCAAGGGAAATACAATGAAAATTGATGCCAAGAATTTACAATCCATGACAAGATCCTGATGTTTAACATCCCACCCAAATCATTCCCTCTCTCCTCACCACAATCTGGTTTATTATCCTCCAGTCACTTATTTCCTTCCTCATTTTATTATACAAAAAATTTCTTACCTCATAAATGAGTTGTATTATATACCAACTTTAAATGGGCAAATTAGATTTAGTTTTGTTTTCGTCTTTAACAATATGCCTTAAAATAGCTGGAGAAACCTTGGAGGGTACCAAAATCAATGTTAGGAGTTATTCCTCTCAGGTAACACTAATGCAAATGCCATCTGTGGTTTCAGACTTGTATACTGCATACCACAGATGCTGCGCAGGCTTACTGAGGGACCCTTTCCCACGCTGAGCAAGTAAAGAGCCCAAAAGACTGATAGGAATTAGATAGTAGGAAATAACGCCAAATGGAATTTGCCAAAAACTTGCCATGAGTTGTCATAAATGTAACTTGAATTTTAAATCTCAAATCTTTTTGAACAATGAATCCAATCAGAAGTTTATTATATGGTACTTTGGGGAAGACTCTTGCAGCTCAAACTGCTCATGCAATGACAATTTGATACAAAAATCAGTGTCATGAAGAATAATGCTTAACACATTTTGATTTCACGAGGCTCCTTTACAGCACTGACAGCACTGCGCCCTTTAGGGCGATGTTCCGACGTGGGTGGAGCACCCCACAAAACTAAATGAGTTCCCGCACTCACAAGGCTAGGCAGTCAGGTTCTAGCAGCTGCTGCAGGCAAAGGCTGAACGTGACACTTCCAGGCTCGGACATTGTGCTGTGTCTTTACTAACAGAAGGATGAATACGTTCAATCCTGAATGATAAAAAAGATCAAAGGAATTCTGGGGGGTAGGAAGCTTAGAAGGTGGTCATTTTTTTACATTTTTGTCCATAACGGTTGTAACACAGGGTTTATTTCATCAAATCACGCACATGGCAGGAATAAAGTGCTATATATTTCATTCTACACTTCCTGTGTGCTCATATTTTGTAAGTAGGTGAAAAGTGTATCATAGACTCAATTAAGTTAATGATTAAATTTAATGGTGTCAAGCTAGTATTTTTTTTTTTTTTGTGAGGAAGATTTGCCCTGAGCCAACATCCATTGCCAATCTTCATTTTTTTTGCTTGAGGAAGATTAGCCCTGAGCTAACATCTGTGCCAGTCTTCCTCTATTTTGTATGTGGGATGCCTCCACAGCATGGCTGGCGCGTGAAGTAGGTCTGCACCCGGGATCCGAACCCGTGACCCTGAGCCACCAAAGCGGATCACGTGGAACCTTAACCACTCAGCCACAGGGCCAGCCCCAGTAATACCGTTTTTATGGATATTTAAATAAGTGTTGTAGATTGGGTACACTTCATCTCATACTTTCTAAAAATTTTATAGATTGATTAGTAATATTCATTTAAAAAATGAAAAGTCACTATATGGCACATACTATTAAGAATCAAAACTTTCCCCCTTTTCCAATCTCTCATTTTCACTCACGATTATTATAAACCTACCACAGGAAAGAAAACTACAACTTATTTTGTGTTCTAGAAATTTTCTACTAATCTAGACAAGTCACAGTTTCTTCCAGTGCCCACTATCTAGAAGTATTAAATAGGATGTGCAAAACTTATTAACAGGGCAGAGGGATGCAAGCTCTTGTATGGCATTTTAAATGTGAATAGCAAAAGGGACACACACA